GTCTGGCAGGTGCACAGCAGGTCACAGCCAGGCAGCAGTCCCCACTGCCAGACTGCTGCAGTGGGTACAGGGTGCAGGGAACTCTCAAGGCTGCTTCAGCAGTCCAGCTGGCACAAGGGGTAGTGTCTCCAGGTACCAACTGGCTGGGCCCCAGAAGCTCCTGAGACCAAGTAGCCCTGAGCTACTTGCCAGGGCAGCTTTTTGTACTGCTGGGGCCAGGACAGGGCAGCTTTTTATACTTGTGGGGACAGCACAGGTGCTGGACCTCAGCTCTAGCTCTCCCTGGCTGTAGATCGGGGAGGAGTCAGGCAAGCTTATTTTGCCCCAAGCAGCACAATTTGCTCCACAACAAAGTGCATGTCCAAGCACGTGCGCTGATCCAAAAAGCCCTGGCTCAAATTTGCACCACTTCTATTTGAGCTGCTGCAAGTGCACGTGCTTGCATGTGTGGACGCACCCATCCTGTCTGAGCTCACCAACACATCAGCACAAGTTCTGGCTGGAGCCACTGCTTTTGCACAGCTCTAGACTCCTTTTGTGGGTGTGAACACCAGTGCTGCCTGTCCCCTGAGTCTGGCAGCAGAGAAGCAAAGAGGGGATAAGAAGCAGTGTTGTTCATTTCCTGGGCTCTGGAGCTGCGTGAAAATGCTGACAACTGGTGGGCTCAGAGAGCGGACCACGCAGGCTGAACTCTGCCAATGCCTTTCTATGTGACCCTTGACCCACTTCTGATTTTAAGGTTTGGCCCACTTCTAAAGAAAAATGTTGAGCACCACTGACTTGCACCAGTGCACAGAACAGTATTATCTAGACCAATGGAACTACATCTTTACACTGGGGCTACATTTGCTCCTATGATTTCATGTATGGCCTAAGCAACAAAGGCAAACAAAATTATAAACACAAAGAAACTGATTTCCTACCAATAGAGCTAGGGAGCTGGACCTCACTTATCTCACTCATATTACAGCTGGCAAAGCGCAACACCCATATTATAGAAGGCGGCTAAAATAATCAGAGAATTCCTGGATGATTTACATGAGGGAGCCACTTCAACCAGCTCTTGCATAAAATTACCATATGTTAACTTCTGAGGTCAGGAGACATATTTTAAAAGTTGAAAAATGCATTTTCTGATACTGGGGATGGGAAGAGCTGGCGGGGCTCCTCGTTGCACACAGACAGGGATGAGCATCTCTGGCAGCCCTTGTCCTGCCAAGTCCAGATGCCAGGAAATCTAATCAGGGAACACCCACGCAGCAGATGCCAGGCAACCAAACCCAGTGAAATCTGATTGAGTGGGCCAGTCTCAGGAGTGAGTCTGATGAGGACCTCTCTGGCTAAATTTTTCTGTCACCAGAAAGTATGAGAGCAGAACGGAAATGATTATCTGTGACCTGAATCTCAGTTTTGTGGTTCCACCCTTCTCTGCCAGTGGAAGAGGAAGGATACACATGACCTGTTTGTTTAGGAAACCTTTAAAACAGTTGTTCAGGGCACAATATATTCTCAGTCAATATTACACTGGCATCCAAACACTAGGGAACCAAGAGTAGGACTTCATTAGCAACAAAACAAAAACAAACAAAAAAAAGACTCTGCCTCCCCTGACTGGCTGTTTTTCACCTATTATCTTCTCACCCCAGATTTAGTCTTGATGGGTGTTTATAGACATGCTCTGGGAGGCAGGGGGGAAACTTTAATTAGTGAGCTGCGCTAATTAAAAGCACCCAAGCATCACGGATATCAGCATCCCCGTGCTGAAGAATAGTGGCAGGGCACTTTGAACTAAAGCTCGTTGAACGAGCATTGGTTTTACAGCACATCAGAGCAGCTTTGCGGAAGGCCATATGAAGACAGAAAAAGTGCAGTGGAGAGGAAGGGAGGAGAAAGGGAAGTGAAGTCTCTTGTTTTCAAAGGCGTTTTAGGCTCCCACAAGCCTAATAAGTGCATTTTATGGGAACCAGGACAGAAGGAGGTAGTGATACAGGATTCTATAAAGAAGTGTGTCCATGATCCTAAACTGTCATAGCCTGGTCCCATTTTAGATACCTTCTTAAGGAGAATGTGCTTTTCTACATTGCTGCTCTTGAAGGCCTTTATCTTTGATTCTATGTATTAGGCCAGAAATGTCAAAATATGGAGAAAGGAAAAACTAACATATATACCTTCTATTGCCACAAACCACACAAAAAAGAAAGAAAGAAACACCACTGCAGATTTTTTGCTCGTGCGCATATATATGGAATTAAAGGCATCCCACAGAGGTGTGGCTTATTTGTCACAAGCTTAAAGCACCCATAAGAAACTGGCCCCAGCAGTATGGCCTTCAGAACCCCAATGAATACTGTCTGTCCCTGTGTGCACATCTAAAGTCTTCCTGAAGGATGGCAATTCTCCAGTCTGCAGCTGATTGTACTGCCCTGAACATGTATATTTGGCAAACTCGCCTGTTGCTATGCAGCTACACAGAGAAGAGGGCCATGCTGCCACATCCCGATTCACAGAAACGCTGACCTTTGGTTTTGGAAAGGACCACACCCCAGGAGAACGCAGTTCACAGAAATCCCACTCCAGTTCCATTAGGGTCACAGCTGTCCAAAAGGACGGAGCAAAGGTAAAATATAAGTGGAAAAAAGGATGCTTGTGGCTAACAAACTGGAAAATAATTCAAGAACAGTTTATCTTTGGAAAAATAGAGCCCCTACAACGCTGCCAAAGTCAGCAAAACCAAGGATGAGCTGTAAGGCAGTGTGATTTAAAATGATCTGGGGCAGCAGTAGCTTAGTCCTGTAGTAAGTATTCCCAATGTTAAAGGAAAATTTGCTGATGTGGTGCCATATCCAATTTTCTACCCTTTTACAAAGAAACCCTACTGCTCACCACTTTTAGTTTGCATCAGAGCACTCCACAGTACCTAGAGAGGATGTAGAATATCCATCCTTGGAAGTTAAGTCCCACCTAGACAAGCCTTGTCTGGGATGACATAGGTGGGGATAGTCCTGCTTTGAGGAGGGGGTTGGACTAGATGACCTCCTGAGGTCCCTTCCAACCCTAATTTTCTATGGTTTATATTACAATTTATCATGCCAAAATACTTTAAATGAAGCCATAGATATGAATAGAATCTACAATTAATTATAACTGAATAAATCCTTGGATTTTTCCAAGAATTAATGTTTATACCAGAAAAGAACTAAACCCCAAGCATGCAAACATTCTAATGACACTTAAAAGAGAAATAAAATAAACCCCAAAAATCAAGTTTGTAGCAAGGAAAGGATTCCAGCTCTTAGTGGTGGGTTTCTTCTGCAGTTTGAAATGAATTATTGTTGCTAACCTTTCAACTGGATCCCTCAACATGACGATGAGTTTGGCATTTGGCTGGAAGGCATGGATAAAATCCTGGATTAAAAATGGAGGCTCTCCATCAGTGCTGTTGTCATAGAAGAAAATCCAAGCATTGTTATCCCACATTGTTGAAGCACTGGCCTCTCCTAGAAATAGAAAACATCTACATTAATAACCGCGACTCTACTGAATGATGTACACTGGCATATAAAACAGGTCCTTTGCTGGTGTATCAGTACCTGCCTATTGACTTTATTATTAGACTTAGGCTAGTTTACACCAGCTTAAAGGTCTGGCCAATGTTTGTACAGAACTTGAAAGATGTACTGTAATTTTATTGCAGTTACAGCGAGGGGAGTTTTTAGATTATTATAATTATATTATCTGCGCATTGTATTTATGGAAGTGTCTGATAAAGGTTTAAGTGTATTTAATTTAGAAAGGGTGGGGCCAGCATTTGAACCCTTGTGGTTGTAAAGTTATTCTGCAGAATTAACCTGTAATTCAGGTAGGAAAATTTGTACCTTAAAGATTTTCAGTTCTATTTAAGATACTTTATTAAGAATTCCTTGCACTTTACACTCCCCTAAGTTCAGGTAAGTCAGGCTCAAGTGAACTGTGTCATTTGCCATCCCAAGGAAAAAAAAAAAAGCAAGGAGCCAGTCGAGTAGAGCAATATTGCATAAAACATGTAGCAGTGTTGCTGACTACATAGGCAATGTGAAAAATACACAAGTCAACCAAGCCAATCAGTTTCCAGTTAATTTAAAAAGTATGGATGGCTCCAGATATAAGAGAACAGAGTGTTCCTGCACCAGGATGTAAAAAGAGAGCAGAACCAGGGAGCCTAAAAACAAAATGGGCTCCATATATGCTACTGCAGAGACGTATTTTGAGAGCAGGATCTGTCCAAAATATAGGTATAAGAGAAACATTAATCAATTTATGGATTACATGACCCATGAAGGAGGCAGTGAACAGCAACTAAACAGGTCACAAGTTACTGCTCGAGTGTCTCTGCAAATATTCTGCAACTTCCCACCCATTCAGCCATTGCCAGGGTGTCTGAAGAATTAACATGCTCCTTCATCATGGCCCTCTTGGAATTCCTCTCCACACAGTCCAGATAGGACCATATTCTTCATGTAAATAAGGGTGTGGAAAGTAAGCAACACTTCCTCTAGCTGGGGATTTGGCCCAGAAAGTGCTTGCTTTTGCATATCTGCTTTCAGTTTACTCATGCAGAAAGATCAACAATAACTCAAGATGCTGGTTTTTTGTGGTTAGTTCAGTGTAGCTTGTATGCAGAAGCCAAAATCCTTTAAAAACAGGACGAGTGTCTGAATTAAATGGCAAAAGAAATTAAATTCTGCTCTCCACTTGCTCCCAGAATCTTAATTTCTCAGAGCAGCAAAATAAATAAATAAATAAAGCAGCCTACCAATTTAACAGTGTCCCTTTACACATCATAATACAATTTTAATATCTGTGCAGAGAGAGCTATATTCAACACACAATAAATTAATCACTGTTCTAGTCAAGCATTTATATATCAAATTGCTGCAGCACAAATCAAAAACACACCAATTTTTCATATGGACTTAAAGCACATACCGTATGATTAAAATGTCTATTTTCATTAAAGAATAAATGTACAATGTCCTTATCCTGAGATTAATGGAATAAAATCGTGTAATGTTTTCATAAAACATTCTTGTGAATTTATCATATTAATGATCAAAAATAAATGCATCCTGCTTAGAATGCCTGAAGGTGGAACAACAGTGTCCACTGGTTCTTCTAAATATGTACTGTTTAATCCAAGGAAATACAATTATTACCTAATAAGAACAGGATTCAAAAAAGCTTAAGGTGTGAAAACAATGCAACATTTTGAACTTAAATATTTATAGTTTTAATTGCATTTTCATTTGTAAGTCCAATAATGCAGCATCCTCCCCAAACCCAATGTTCATGTATCATGTAGACTTGACTAGGTTGTTTTCTTACCAAGGTCATAAAAAATAATTCAATGAGCATAATTACCCCAACCCCTTTCTGTAAAGTTAATAAAGAGAGCACAACCCTAGTAATAAGAACACTTAGAGAATAAAGAAGCTGAACTCAGGCAAATGCTGTAGCACAAGGTACATAGTCAAATATGCAGTGCATAATTTAAACTAGTGAACTGAATTAATACGTGCATTTTGCCTGTGTCACTGGAGATCGCAATCTACATAGGAAGAATTTCTGCAGATACCAATGATAGCAAAACTCTACAAAACCTGGCCCTACAAGTCTTGCTAGTCAAATCAAGACTTTTATTTAAGTAAATTTTACACAGGAAAATTTCAACTTTTCTTCAAAAAACTGAGCACCTAAAAACCAAAACATTTTTATTGAAATGCCCTTACACTGCTTTGTAGGACCATGATATGAGTGTCCCATGACCCAGTTGGTCTTTTAGACTTCCTCAGCAAACTACATCTGTAATAAGGCACCATGGTCAGAGGCTCCCATGATTTACATGGTGACTCAAGTCACAGAGGTAAGTATACTTTATCTGGAAGAAGTAATCCAGCCAGAGAGACCAGAGAGCAGAGGAAAACAAGTAGCCAAACTGTAATACCCATCAGGCCATGGCAACAGTCTTCTTAAATCAAAATGTTCAATTTCAAACCAAAATATCCAGTCAACATATTTGGCTTGTTCCACAGATGTAATTCTGTGCTATGCCTCTTGGTGCAGCTCAAAACTAGCTATCTTGGAAGAATCAGGCCTAATAAACAGGTTTCAGTCACTTTTGGGCCATCCTGATTCTAGGCTGTTTTGGGACTAAAACAGCCCTGGGTATAAGTAACGCATGTCACGGCATCCAATTTGTGGGCAGCCCAACTTGACCTGCTTACAGATGGTGGTATGCCTCTTTTCTTGGAGTCTGAGAGCAGGGTTGCTAATGGCAGTCTTGCACTCTACTTGTC